CACAAGCTCTGGCAGTACCAGTGGTATAATCAAAGAGCAGAGGGACTCCATGATGAAATGGTTACAGACAATGAGGAACACATTTGCAGCTTTTGCATCCACTCAGGTATACTATCAACTCACTGTCACATCTTATAATCCACACAGATACATACTGTCACATCAATCCACACAGGCACATACTATCAACTTACTGTCACATCTAATAATCCACACAGATAGACACTGCCACATATTATAATTTTACAGTCCATAGAGGTACATACTATCAACTCACTGTCACAGCTTATAATCCACCCAGGTACATACTGTAAAACTGTTTGAAGGAATCCATGCACAAATTCACATGCTTATATATATCATATACTACGTCCATATGGCCAAAGAAAAAAATAGTCTACAGTTTATCAGGCACTGTTCAAACACTGCAGCATTGATCAAATTTATGGACACATTTCAAAGGGAAGTAATCCAATTTTCTATTGCTTCCAAGTTGAAAAAGAAATTTGAGTGATCCCCCCTTTCATACATGGTAATAAAAAGACGTTTTTACTATATACAAAATATATTTTTTTGTAAAAACAGTATTTTATAAAAATGTTTGGACTAAAATTAAAGTTGAGTACATATTATAATTAGTGAAAGAATACCAAAAAAAAGTAAGAATAAGCTGATATCATTTTTTTTTATGAGTGAAAAGGAGAAAAAAAAAACCTCCCTGCTGCATCGAATTCTGAAATTTTTGACCTGAAAAACGAAAGAATAATATTTTTTCGTCTTTGTTTACTAGATTTTAAAGACAGAGAACTTGATATTCAGATGCATGATTTGTCTTTTTTAAGGACACCTTAGCAGCCATGGAGGCTCTGTTTGAGTTCACCTTGGTTGACCCCAACAGAAATGTGTTCAGCATGAACCTTAAATTGGAGTCCTCTGCTTCCCCTAATTGGATGAATGAGTTCATGATGACCAAAGATAATTATACAGAAATGCAGGAAGATTGGGTGAGTTTCCTAAATCTGGATAACCAAAACAAAACTGAATTGCTACTTCATATAATTTTGTTAAATTGATTTTAGTGTTAAAGATGGTTGATTGACTCTTTCAAAATTTTATGTGTTAATATTTTAGCTGCCCAAAGTATTTGGTCAAGTTCGAGTAGCAGTAAAGGGAACTGGAAGAACACTTATTCAGGTATGCTTTTAGAATTAGTACTATGTCTTAATTTGACTGTATGAAATATTTAATAATTTTGATACTTATATTACTGAAACATTTAGATTTAAAAGTTTAAAATGACAATTTCCATTTTAAATGGAAAAAGTTCATTTTCATATCTGATGTTTATGTAATATGTTTAAAATCATTTTCACCTTTAACCAATATAGTTCATAATGTATTACTATGTTTATTAGCTGACTACAACAGTCAATGTAGAGTATGTGTGGCAAGTCCGGAATCCGGTGGATACAACCCAGTTTTTCCTGTTAGACAATTACAACATCGAGTTCAGTGGGAGAAACTTCTCGACAATCAGAATGACACCTTGTGTCAGGTTAATAAAAACAAATCAATTTCAACTATGCAGAGCATTTCATTTTAAACTAAGGTTAAACATGTACATGTATTTATCTTTTGTCATAAGCATAGTAGGATATTTTTCCTGCAAGAAGTAAGCTGTATTTTACATGTACTTTTAAATATTGAATACATAATAGTATTTAAGCTTGTATCACAATTTTAGCTGGGTGTATGAAGCTCGCAGTAAACAGTCGGGTTTGACGGTTCTGGAAATTGATATTCCCTCGGGTTATGTGATAATGAACGACACTCTGCGAGCCCTTGTTAATAGCCCTACCTCACCCACAAATCTCAAGAGAGCTGAATTCTATGGAAGAAAAGCTGTGTTTTACTTTGAATATGTAAGTAAAGTCTTATATAGGCTTATGGTTGACCTAGTTTGCAGACAGAAACTGAACAATGGAGGCTTTTTTTCAAAATATTTAAATTAATTAAACACAGAATTATAATATTTATTTTAAAGCTTGATCAGCGGCAGACCTGTGTAGACTTAGAGGCCCACAGATGGTATCCTATTGCTAATATGACCATTCAGCACAAAATAAGAGTCTATGATTACTATGAACCAGGTAAGAAACATCTTTAATTATATGGTGCTTTCTGTGCACAGGAAAGGTAACTCTTGATTATGCTCTCAATATTTTATTGCAAGTTTGACCAAAAAAGAACAGCTTAAATTGGTAGATTTAATTATATAACTCAGTTTTAAATATGTAGTCTTTTAATTACATATTTAAGAGAAAAAATGGTTTCTCTTACAGGTATGCACAACACAACGCTGTATTCCACATACAGCTTGTTCAATCTCAATGTGTGCTATGTGTGTGGGTCGTATCAATGTCCATATTGTCCATTCTTCAATGTCGGTGTGGTGATTAAAGCCAGCTTTACATTAATAACACTCATCATTGGATTTATTCTACAAAGGTATATGTTACGGAACTCTTAGCAGTGAAGCTCTGGTGTGACTTGACTTAAATCCTTCCATAATACCAAAATGATTGAAGTCTGAAATGAAAAGTAGACAAAGAAGGGAAAATTCACATATCAGCTACTGTGGATGATCACATGATTCACATCAACATTTCTGTTATACAGGATCTGTTTTGACTTTTACCTTATTCCTGGTTGGTTATACATAGTTTTTTTTTTGGTATTTAAAAATGGGGTTGTGTATTTAATTGTAATTCATATATAGATCATTGGAATATTTGCAATAACTCACTTTTGAACAAAAGTTTTATACTGAATATTAATACTTGACATATTTCACACAGTGCCATAATTGTTGTAGTGAGAAAAAATGTCACATGTTACACAAGTACTTCAATTTGTCAACGGTCAAGTATAAACATGTAAGTGCTTAAAAAGAACATTTTTTTAAAAAAAAGAATTCTTGGATTTAAGTTTAGATATTCTACAGAGAGGCTGATTTCTATAATGAAAAGCAAAAGACATTCCAGATACTATTATTAATTTTTTGCCTTTCTAAAGAGGGGAAATGGACTTACAAGCTATCAAGCATTTATGTACACCTCTGATCTTTTGTTATTCTTGGTGATTCATATGCTGTGTAGTTTTTATACACTCCACAACAGTGATTAATGTATGAAATTCATATTAGATATTCTGTGATTTTTAAACATTGTAATTTTGTATTAGTCTAGAATGGTTGCTTTTATTATATTTTTACAAATGTTACATATCAGTTTTGTTAAATGGTTTTTTATACTCTAGAGTATGAAATACAGGTGTTGTGAGAGAGGAAATGTGATTACAATTTACATTTATTACATTCCATGTTATTACATATCATGATGCAACAGTCAACTTACCTCCAAAAAGTACAATCCAGGAATTTATGACTGTTGCACATATTTACCATTTTCATATATGGACTTCTTTTTCATAGAATATATGTAATAATCATTTTATGGTGAATATTTTTTTATGGAATAAATGTGACATATCTTGAATGAATGTGTATATATATTTTATGAAATACAATATTTTCTACAAGGGACTAGAAAGCATTCCTATCCATCATTGTAAATACCATTTTTCAAATAACTATTGTATAAATTAATAATTTTGTAAATTAGAATCTTTTTGTAACGATATACAAGCATATTTGTACATAAATGTCACTTTTATATGCAGTAAAAATAAAATTATTAACTATAATGATATGAATTTTAGTTTGATCAGAAGTGGCGATCCGCAGATAAACTGGGAACATTAGTGTCTTTTTAAGCACATTGGCACTGTTGATTCAGCATCACCACCAAACAATATTTTACAAAGATTAACAAGAAAACTGGCATCACTAATTATTAGTTTCCTTAATTAGTCCATAGTAAAAATCCATAGTAAAGTTTTAACATTTAGTATATACGTTTATACTGGAAACTAACAAACTTCTACCTCGCCTTCATAAACAAGTCTTTTTCTTATTAGCCTGCTCATAACTGGTAGTTTGATCAGACTGTGGGCCTTTGTGAAAGGCTGAATGTGTATTAGGTACTGATACCTATCGAAATGCCAGTATGTTATTACAAAAAAGTTTTAGAATTTTTATTTTTGTCTTGTTGGTTTTCTTCTATTTTACATTTCAAATTGATACAGGAATCGTGAGGAGTACCCAGTTACATGTATAAGGTCTGGGGAGTAACTTTTCTGCATTATTCAAAGCGAAATTAAAAAACGAAACGTGACAAAATTGAAACAGGACAAGTGAACGATTGTTAGAAAGCGCTATCAAATTAGCATGATACATTTTGGTAGACTTTAAAACGGGTAAAACTGTTAAAAAGGGTATTATCACTTCATGATCTTAGTAAAGGACAAAAATAGAGGAATGTTATCATTCTTCGTATCTATCAATGTTAGAACTCCGTTTTATATAAACCTTTGGCTCAATTATTGCAACCATTGGGCATAAAATATGGCATCACTTGATAATCAAACTACATGGGTATTGTATCGAATCACTCTTGCATAACACCAATTTTATTTTAGCTCCAGAATTTGGCCAGTATACGCCTATAGAATTGAACTATATGAGAATAATTAAGCAGTCACTGTATATAGGAAAGACATTAATTTTATCTTATTGAAACGTGCTAATATGAATTTTTCACGGATTTCATTTATACTGCATTAATGGCGCAGCTAATTGCAAGTATTAAAACACCTTTATAGAATGTATTTTAACGTAAACGCCCCTTGCTTAAATCAAGTCACCCGTGGAAGATGGGGGCATGTATATAGATGTATATTCATCCGAATAAAACAATCCATTGGCAAAAAAATTAGTAGGGATTGCCAACTTGGGCCCTAGAACAAAACCGTAAGACAATACCTGATTGCTACGACCCGATCTAAAGATACATTTCTTTTTTTAAAGCGCTGTCTTTGTTCCAAATACACGCACAGCTTGCTGAGCCGTGCGAGTGGAACTTCGACGTTTTCGGTTGATTTGAATTGGTGATTTCTTGTGTATCGAAAAAAGCAGAGCCTTGACTTGGAAGAAATTCTGGGCAAAATCTTCATAATTTTTGAAGATGGCTGGACTCGCTTCCTTTAAATTCTTCTGGAAATGAATTTTTTCTCAGTTTCAAATCTTTTCAACAGTGCAATTTTGGTTGGATTTCTGGTATCAGGTAATGTACATAAAATTCTTTGTGGGGATGATTTTTTGGACAGGTAATTAAAGTGATACAGATCTATAGATGAATGGGATTTAGATCTCTCCCTCGAAGTAATTCATCATTAACAAGCCATAAACTTAAAAGCCCATAAAATTTAAAGGTCACATATTTCAATTTTTAAAATGACCTTCTAAAAGACTTTTCAGGAAAGTAAGATGACCTCTCGTTTTTCATTAAAATCAGGAACAGTTGTTCCATTTACAAACGATGTCAAATAAAACTCGATTTTGTTTTTAAGAGGGTATGTCTGCATGTGTACTCAACTATGATATATTGAAAGTAAAATAAACACTCGACCCCTGTTCAGAATATTTGCGTATCTATTCAATCGGAGCTCATCAGAAAACCATATACTCCTCAAAGGGTTATATTTTAAATCTCTCTCTCTAAATCTCTCTCTCTCTCTCTCTCTTCATCATCGGTTCTGTAATTAGTGAACGCTTTTCTACAATTTAAAAACTTATTTTAAAAAATTATATTAAAATTTAGTGTTTCAAAATTAAAATATTTTCCAATGCCATTTATCTAAAATTGTTGGGTAAGAGTTCTCATATGCCAAGTTTGTGTACACTGTGATTAGAATATAAATTACAACCTTGATACTTCGGAAGATTGAGGCAATAAAAGAACATTTCAAGTGTCACCAACGCGTTATTTTATTTCATGCAAAATACCTGTACGTTAACACACATGGCTATCAAAAGCAACAAACCCCAACAAAACTTATGGAATATTCAATCTTTCAAATAAATAAAAAGTGCGGCCCAAAGTTTCCTCACAGCTTAATATATCTATATCATTTTATGGTGTCTAGGATTTGAACTATAAATGTCCTTAATCCCGTGATTTGCTTTGATATATATTTTCTACAGGCTTATACTTGCCAGAGAATGATTGCCCTTTATAAACCTTTCCCCTTACAGAAAACGCACAGATCTGGGGAAATTTTTCAAAAGATATCTTACGACTAAAATTTTCACATTCTAGTTAAAGTTTCTAAGAAAAAATATCTTACGAGAAAGGCAAAATTTTAATTTTTTGCTTAGTTTCTAAGCACTATTAGGTCTGAAAAAAAAATTATATTTCAACACTGCATTAGAATGCATATGAATACATGCATCTGTATTTTATTTTATTTTTTTGTGCGAACAATTGTCATCTTAAACTCTAATTAATATGCTTCATCTATAATATGTAAAAAGGTAGAATGCATGATGCAAATAACAAGATAAATGTAAGTTCTAAAAAGACCAAGAATCTCTTCTTTCTCTCTCAACTAACCAACCCCAGTAAACATTCTTCAAAACAATATTTCTTGCGACAAGAAGTGCAAATATTCCGAGCACATGTCGCCGGCGACAAGATGTGCCTACATAAAAAGTACATTTTCTTACCTTTGGCATGCACATATTAATTATATAGCCGATGTCAATTTGTACCGATGGACGATAATAAGTGCAGTGAGAGTACGTACATTATTGTTTTCTAACAATTTGAACTTATAAAAGTGGAAATCAAAAATTATGTTTTCACTTTTTAAAACTTTTGTTTTAAGTTTTACATTCACAAAATTATGTATTTAAGTATGTATTATGTATTAATTACTTTTTAACTTTATGTATTAATTACATATGTACTTCTATACTTGTTTTATTGAAATAATTTCACGGAATTTTTCATAATAAGTTACCACGGTAACACCGTTCATCAAAATCAACAACCAGTATACAAAACAGTGTACCTCAATTGAATTAGACCAAAATTGTAGGAGGGATGTCATTCAGAAAGAATTTCACACACATGGTCTATTTTAGTAACTATTGAAATATCATTCGTTGTAAATAGGGTGTTAAAAGAACCTTGAATATTGTTCTAGTCTATTCATGTACCACGTTTCACTGACTTCGGATCAAAACATTTCACTTAAATTCTATTTTTAGAACAGGAAATAACTATTTCAATGCCATCGGAACGGGAAGTGCTTTGGGTGCGATCGCATCCCCCCTTTTGAAAACCACTCGAAAATATTCTTTTTTGATAAAATAAATTTATTTCCCAAGTACATGTTTTTAAAAAGTAATGGTACTAGATTTCTTTTTAATATTCTAGAAGAAAAAATGACTTGAAGAGTGCATGAGAGTCCATCAAAATGTATCCATTTATTAAAACATTCTGACTTAGAGGAATTATCCTCTAAACGCAACCCCAACCCCCCAACTTTACCAAAAACCTGGCCACGTCCTTGCTTTCATCGTAATCATAAACTAATACACGAAAAGAATCTTGGTGTATATGTAGTAAACTTATTTACTAAGTTCCATTATGGTCGGACCAAAACTACAAAAAGAGAAGTGGTTTGAAAGAATTCACAGAAGTTTCTGTTTTTAGTAAGCAAAGCAACACGTTTATCCAAAACACAACCAACATAAAAATCGTGAAGCCTAGTGTAGTCTACTTATGTATGACGATACCGAGTCCTAGTATAGTCTACTTGTGTATGACGATACAGAGTCCTAGTGTAGTGTACTTGTGTCTGACACTACCGAGTCCTAGTATAGTCTACTTGTGTATGACACTAACGAGTCCTAGTGTAGTCTACTTGTGTATGACGATACAGAGTCCTAGTGTAGTCTACTTGTGTCTGACACTAACGAGTCCTAGTGTAGTCTACTTGTGTATGACATTACCGAGTCCTAGTGTAGTCTACTTGTGTATGACACTACCGAGTCCTAGTGTAGTCTACTTGTGTATGACGATACAAAGTCCTAGTGTAGTCTACTTGTGTATGACATTACCGAGTCCCAGTGTAGTCTACTTGTGTCTGCCGCTACCAAGTCCTAGTATAATCTACATCTGTAAGACGCTACCGAGTCATAGTGTAGTCTACTTGTGTATGACGATACAGAGTTCTAGTGTAGTCTATACTGGTGTATGAAGATACTGAGTCCTGGTATAGTCTACTTGTGTATGACGCTACCGAGCCCTATATAGTCTATATAGACGCTACCGAGTCCTAGTGTAGTCTACTTGTGTATGACGATACTGAGTCCTAATATAGTCTACTTGTGTATGACGCTACTGAGCCCTAGTATAGTCTATATAGACGCTACCGAGTCCTAGTGTAGTCTACTTGTGTATGACGATACCGAGTCCTAACTTGTAGTCTACTTGTGTATGACAATACCGAGTCCTAGTACAGTCTACTTGTGTATGACACTAACGAGTCCTAGTGTAGTCTACTTGTGTATGACGATACCGAGTCCTAACTTGTAGTCTACTTGTGTATGACGATACCGAGTCCTAACTTGTAGTCTACTTGTGTATGACAATACTGAGTCCTAGTACAGTCTATTTGTGTATGACGATACCGAGTCCTAGTACAGTCTACTTATGTATGACGCTACCGAGTCCTAGTACAGTCTACTTGTGTATGACAATACTGAGTCCTAGTACAGTTTACTTGTGTATGGCGATACTAAGTCCTAGTGTAATCTCCTTGTGTATGTCCATAATGAGTATAACAAAATCAGACACAGCCCCCACCCCCACCCCCCAATCACAGAAATTAAACTTGTAGTTATTATGACAGCACTGTTCATCAAAATTAAAAACCGATCCATACAATTGTGTAACTTGGTGTATTCTTGTATACCAATTTTTATTTCAATCAGACCAAAATTGGAGCAACAGCGTTTCGCAGAGAATTTCATAGAAAATTCTTTTTTTAGTAACCACAGCAATACTGTACACCGAAATCAGAGCAGTTATGAAGAATTATGTACTGGTATCTTGATTGGGTTAACTGTGTACTAACAATTGAAATCAGGCTGAAACCATAGATGGAGTAGCATTTAAAAAAATGTTAAGAGACGGACACCTTATGCAAACGCTCTTCTTCTTCCTGACACTTCTTCCTGACAGTAGAGTTTAACGACTCTCATGTGGCCTACTTTGCTTTACCCGACCTCCAATTCAATACATGTATTCTGTTTCTTAAGTGTGGAATAGGCATCATTAGAATTTTAGACGTTTTTTTCAGAATATTGTTTGTAGAAAGTTTTTATGAAAGGTTGATTTACAATTAACTCAAACCAGGAATAGAAACCCAAACGCTAAAGATTTTAAATATTAGCATCATAAAGCAGGTTCACAGTGTTGGCATAAAAAGCGGTTCCAAAGTCCATGGCACTCATCTGAGTTATTTGTTTTACTAACCAATCAAACCCTTCAGCAAAGTTCAAATTAAGATAAAGGATTTACCAACAAGCAGGTAGTGTAGATTCAAGTTTGTCCAAATCATGACCCCCAGGGGTAGGGTGGGGCCACAATGGACGATCAAAGTTTTCCATAGGAATGCATAGGAAAAATCTTTAAAAATCTTAAAAGAACTACTTGGCCAAGAAAGATGAAATTTATGTGCAAACATCCTCAGGTAGTGTAGATTCAATTTTGTTCAAGTCATGACCCCTGGGGTTAGGGTGGGGCCACAATAAACGTTTTACATAGGAATACATAGGAAAACTCCTTAAAAATCTTCTCCAGAACAACTTGGCCAAGAAAGATGAAACATGTGCAAACATCCTCAGGTAGTGTAGATTCAGTTTTGTTCAAATCATGACCCCTGGGGTTAGGGTGGGGCCACAATGGACGATCAAAATTTTACATAGGAATACATTGGAAAAATCTTAAATTCTTTTCTCAAAAACAGCAAAGTTATGATTGGTTATATTTACATGGACGCATCCTCAGATATAGTACAGATTCAAGTTTGTTCAAATCATGACTATGGAGATAAAGTGGGGCCACAACAGACAATCAAAGATTTACACATGAATACTTATGAAAAAATCTTTAACAATCTTTTTCTCAAGAACAGCAAAGCCATGATTTGTCTTATTTATATGGAAGCATCTTTGGGTAATGCTAATTCAAATTTGTTCAAATCTTGATCCCCTGGAGTAGGGAGGGGCACAACAGGTGATCAAAGTTTTAGTTAGGAATATATAGGAAAGATCATTTAAAAATCTTCTCAAAAACAACAAAACCATGATAAGTCATTTTAATATAACTTAATTTTGGTTGTAACGCATCATTTGATTGGATTAAAAATTAATTTATATTGTATAACCTGGGTTTGTTTTTGCAGCTTTCAATTTATACTCTATGGATCCTCTATGGATTGTTGTTTTATACCGAGGTGACCGTTAAGGCCCTTGGGCCTCTTGTCAATTGTTCATGTACATTTTTATCTGGGATAAAAAGATTTTATATGCAAAAAATTCGATTTAAATCTTGGTGCCACGTGTGCTCTGTAACGTGGTAATCCGGGTCTTATATCAATTTAGGCACCATGACATGACACTTGACAGCAGAGGTATATGTTAGCGAAAACTACAATAAATTTGGGATTGCATACAATTGGACTAGATGAGAAGACAACCTTTTGCTCTTGAAAGCTAAAGCAACTTTGAAGTGTATTAGATTTGGAAGTACGCAGATTACCATCAGTAATCTTATCAGTAGAGATTAAGGTGGCCAATTAATTATTTATTAAAGCTCTTATTGAAACTCCGCCTTTGTAAGGAAGCGGGGGTAAATGTACAGTACATGTATATACTGATAAACACAAAGGATGTACTCTCATGACGTACAGATTTTGGATATTATAATAAGTAAAACACTTGATGTACAGTTAAACACACTTATAGCGAAGTGCCAGGGACGAGCGATTTTGCTTCGTTATAAACGTAATTCGTTTTATCCGTTCACTTTACAATTTGATTTAAACCCAAGGGGAATGAAATCATTTCGCTTTAAGCGTAAATTCATTATAAGCGTGTTCGCTATAAGAGGGTTTTACATAGTTAATACAGGTGGCTCTGGACCTGCCTCGCCAGGGAGCTATCACTTTTGTTAAACATAAACAATTTCAGATGACAGTATTACATAAATGAGATACATGTACTCTCTAAGACATGAGTTGACAGGACAAATCTATTTAGGAAAGAAAATTTTTAAAGTGTCTTTAAAAATTTTCCGGTACCCATGGAATCACTCAACAAAGTTGGAATGTTGACACTTTTGCAAAGTATTACAAATCACACTGCCTACCTTCTTTGATATATTATCATAAAACCACGCTTTTGTTCCATTAAAAAGAATGGATTGTTTTTTAAGACATATTAATTTAGAATAGGAACGCATCAAGACAACTTTGCAGTGCACATTACACGAACTCTCTGATTTAAAAAATACAGCAATGTCTACAAGCTTGACAATTTTGAGAAAAAATAATTTCAATATTCTGTTGTAAATAAGAGATGAGTAGCTTTTACTACTATAGGACGTTTGATTTCACCAATAACAATTCGCAAAATTACAAATTACGCAATCTAAATATCCTCCTTGTTTCGGACTGACAGACAGACGACGTCTGACGTCTGCTGAACCTCTCGATTTTGGCAACGTTAGTTAATCTAGACGAATCTAATATTCACACCTATTTTTTTTTTTTTTTTTATCATTTTTAGTTTGTAATGGCGGGGATACATGTACTGCGACATTCAAGGGATCAATCGTTGTAACTAAGTACTGTGACATTGGAGGATGTTGTATTCCGAGCACAGGGGACGAAAAAACCGATCCGGACGAACTATGTTGTATGACAACACTTACGTTCATTCTTATCTTGTCTTTCACGGGAGGACCTGCATTTCTTTTAACTTTGATTTGCGGTGGATTGTGTATTAAACGTTACTGTGAAAAGAAGAAAAACGATGACAGAATCCGGAGAGCCGAGTCTGCGCGACAGGAGCGACGCCGTGAGCGCAGGCGCCAGCGGCAACAGCAGGAACAGGAAGAGGAAGCGGTCCGGATTAGAAGATACTACGGTAAGATTTAGAAAACGTGAAACAGCAAAAAATTAAATTTTAATGAATAAAGAGAAATAAGACATCAACTTGAAAGGAATTACGCTCTGAACAAATTCTGCTCTGTAAGTCCATGTACACGCGTGCAAGTGATTAAAAATTTCCCGTAGAGAGAGACTGGGCTCCTTTAAAATGGTCTGTTTTATAAGGTGTTCCAATACGGCCTTTAAAGAATTAATCTCAAATGTTTCGAATATTAAAGATTTCAGACACTACCTAGTCTATCTTTGAAAATTCATGACAATATCATATGAAAATAGCCTCATTATCTCTGAAAATGGTAACAGGTCAAATATATTTACAATGCATATGTGTGTACCCTAATAACTACAATGTACATCATAGAATGAGATCGAATGAAAATCTTCAGTTTTTGGGTAAAAGATTTTCAAGATATTAAAGTTAACTTATCACCTACATTGTGATTATAATGAATGTTCAAGAAAGTGTACTGTTGAAAGAAAAAAAGTTGATTTTCAGCATAGTATTTTTTTCAAAAAAGAATCATTGATCGGAGGACGTACAGTTCATTTATTTAAACACACAAAGTTTCAAGATATCTTTAAAACACCTAACACCTTGAATTTTGAAGATATTACCTTGAATTTTTTAACTTAATATGTAAAACTTTCAATTTCAAGATAAAAATTTAAAAAAAATATTGGTCACATTTGACCAACTCTTGTACACTGAACATAAAAACAGAGTCTGAGTAAATTTAACTGTTGCAAACACTTGATCATAAATTAAATGCATGGTGGAAATTGAACAACATGGTCAGATAATTCTTTTCCTGGATGAAGATTAATTGCTTGATTTATTAGTAGACCAAGTACTTTTTCTTGAGTAAGGCACATAAATTACTCAAGAATACATTGAATAAATGCCTCTAAAATTCAGTAGTTAAATGTCAAACCATACATATACACAATCCAAAACTCGTATCTAGAAAGGTTTAATTAAACGTACACTGCCCTTTGTCAACTGTGTAATTTATCTCAAAAAATATTATGGGAGGATAAATAGGTCTAAATCAAAGTTCAATATACAAAGTGCATGAATCAATACGGCACTTTACACTTTACAGTTTGTTGCTTTATCTTGCAAGACGGGAAAAGTTATTCTATATTGTCCTTTGACTTCTTCAAATTTTTTTTTTTTTTTGATTATACGTAATGTATGCTTCAAATTTATTGGAAAAATATGTGTCATGTTCAATGTTCAACAGTCTTTCCAATACATTTTATGCTCTCCTGAGCCAAAGACTACTTAAAGTGAGCTTTCTAACCTGTTTGTTTGGGTTATTCAACTTCTGAACAAAGCCTTTTCCTCTAAAGAACCACTTGGTCTCTTTTACGAGGAAAGAAGAGACTAAGACAAAATTCTCCTCCTGAAGACTATTATGTCAACAACCCATTATAGTTTAAAGTCAAGTCTGTTCAATTCGTAAAAACCCCTTCCTCCAGTTAGGATGGGATCCTCATGGGGATAAAGGTTTTTACAGATACTTGTATGTATTAAGGTTCTTATAAAATAATAAAAGCGTTCTTTAAACAGGACTGTAATCAGTAAAGCATCCTCCTATAGAGGTGATTCAATTTTGTTCAAAACATGATCTCTTGAGATAGCCTTATGAGAGACCACAAAGGGTGGGTTAAAGTTTTACACCGGAATTCACCGGAAAAATCTCCCCTCTTCTCGCAAAATGTCCCCAAAAACTACTGAAAAAAGAATAGACTCAAGATTTTTCAGAGTGGGGCCACATTTGGGGGGTCACAGATCTTTAAAAAAAACTTTCTATCAGAGTTTCATCTCTAATCGAATCAAACACAAGAATTGGCATGTAGTTTGTCCGACGAATCCCCCCCCCCCCCCGAATGGGTGTGCCAAATGAGGAAACAGTTTTCCACAAAGAACACAGAAAATCATGTATGAAAACAATAGGGCTACAATTTGTAAATTTGACATCAATCTTCAGTGTTCTGTATGAAAACAGTTGGATTAATGGACGGCAGCAATATAGACTTTTATTCTAAACATATTCACTTCAGGAATATCTAGGGCTGGGACGATATATCGAGATATCGATAATATCGATTCAATGTGAGGATGATACGCATATCGATACGTATGAAGAAATATCGACATATTTCCCAAAAAAATCTGACTAATGTTTTTCTTTGTTAACTTAACATTTTGGGTTTAATATGTAAAATAAATATGCTTAATATAAATAGGAATATGAAATACATAATAATTAAGACCAAAATAATTAAGTTTTACAACAGATATACAACTTCTTTGAATAAATTATTCCTATTTGTGAAGAAATATCTTGTTCATTTCAATATAAAAAAAGAATTTATAACCAATTAAACATATCGTGATACATATCGTATCGTGGCTCAAATATCGGGATACGTATCGATATAGAAAAAGTTGGATCGTCCCAGCCCTAGGAATATCACGGTGTCTTATGTGCCACTGTTATGCATATTACCAGTATATATATATTCTACGCATATTAAAATTGTAGATCCCAACCCCGAGGACGGTCCTTTAAGGCCTCCAGCGTATGACGAAGGTCCACCAGGATCGGTTCCTAACCAGCGAGCTCTACCAATGTCACCACCACCAGCTTACGAAGCGATAGTACAAGAGGCTACATTACCAAATCACAACCAAATCCCCGTTAGTTATAATGAAAGAGCTAGAGTGGGCAGAAATGAACACAGCCAGGACGGAAATGAACACATCGATGTGACAATTCATGCACCCGCCATTGGAGGCAGGCGATTAAATAAACGAGTTACATTAAATGAGACAAAATCAAGCAACAGTGCTGTGAGAAATGGAATCACAAACTCTGGAACAGCGAGAAATGGAATCACACGCCCAGAGTCTGTGCATAAAAACCAAGTTTCTCCGAGTAACAGTTTTAGAACCGTACCAAGTCCAACCAGAAGTCCCAGCGCTCTATCTAATGACAGTGTAAATTCTGAGCATGACACTGTGCGCCCTAAACAGTTTTCAAGACCTCTTCAAATTGTTATTGATGCACCGATCGACGAGCCCGCCGATTTACTGTATATATAAGATGAGATTTCAATAAAAATGTTTTCCCCAGAAAAACGCGATTTGCTAATCATTTATTAAAAGACTGAAAAGAAGTCAAATTCGCAAGTGTACTCGGTCATTTTCAAATCTTGGAACTATTTTACGAAAGGCTATCACTTGACAGGGCATTTTGGATCTTGGCCTAGGAGAAATTTCTTTGTCTAATTTTTTGGGGATCAAAATAGTCAAAATAAGAGTACGGTACCGGTACATTTTTTTTTAAATTATATACCGGTAATACAGGTTAAGGCAAACCCTATTTGACACATTTTTGTGAATACATGTATTTGGGAACAGTTGGGTGCCATAGTGAAACTCACTTATCATATATCTAAATACTCCATTTATTTTTTTAATTCTGAGCATTTAAGAGAACAGCTTTATGCAGAATGAGAATAAACAGTCCACCACATTCAGGTCACATGAGTTCAGCGTTACAGTTACAGGTCGAGCCGATTTGGTCATACTACCAATATTGCCTGGTAACATTATATATATTGTACATATACTTCAGTTACATGCTGATGGGCCTCTTGTTTTCTTATTATTTAATCAATAAAAAAAACATGTAAAGACTCTTTGCATAACTGGATTGGACATCAGGCATCATGTCTATACAAGTCCTCTTCAAGTGGAACGTGCAAATAATATATCGTAAAGGTTAAGTTCTAATATCTACATACATTTAAACTGGTATCATGTCAAAATGGATTTTTTTTTTTTTTAAATATTTGAGTCAAAGTAGCCTACAACATTTCAGTAGAGGATATTTTGTCCAAATCCATTGGATGGTAAGACTAACAAGTAAAGCCCGTTGCAAATGCCCTTCATATTTCTTGAGTATGGGTTTCTCGTTCCTACTGCTATACGTTTTCGCCCAGTGTCATGCATAAACAAACTTTCAAAATCTTTGACTTTTTTCAGAACCACAGGGCCATTATCAAGTAAACTTGCCACAAAGCATTTTTGAATGTTTATGCTACAATTTTTATTAAACGAAGAACCACTTTCCTCCAGAATTTTTTTAAAAGTGAAAATACACTGTGCGATGCAGTCATTTCTCAAGAACATACAACTTTTGTAAAAATCTTCAAGAATGTTCGAATAATGTTGAAAGGTTAAAATGAATATGAATGGGAAAATCCTTTTTAGTTTCTACAAGGGAACAAGGTCCGACTTACATTCATGAATCTTCGTGTTATTTTAAGTTTTTCCACCAATGACCCTGGGGGCAGGGATGGACCCTCAAAAGAGTTTCAACGTGTCTAAGACGCTTATAGAAACCAGAAGTCTACGATGAGACTGTAGATTTAATCGTTTGTTCCTGAAATTCTGGGAAAGAAAAGTTGTGCTCGGACTTGAAATACATCCTTTTGGTGTTGCATTTATATAAGTACGTATCTTAATGTTTTCTAAACTTTTGCCAAGATTTATTGAAATCAAATGGAAACTATATATAGGAAGAGTGGTATTTAAAAAATTTACAGAACACTAGTATTTTATTTTAAATAAACATGGGAACACAATCAATCAAAATGTGGTAATAATTAACAGAAATAAGACAATTGGTATATCGGTAGTTTACTTGTGGTAAATCTATTGACACCTTGCAAAATCCTGTAAAGTTCCACCAATACATAATGCTTTTACCACGAAGTCATTTTACTGAAATCAAACCCAAGCTTTAGGAGGAGTAACATTTTGATAGCATACATAAACACCGTTTGCAGGTAATGTTGGAATATTGCTACTTAAATAAGGGAAATTGATACTGGAAAAGCTGAATCATGCCGTTTGTCATACAGTTTAGTTATTAGTTGACATTTATCGTCTATATAGTCAGTAAAACATCCAAATACGAAACAGATGTGGCAGACTCAGTAGTGTCTTTATTTCGAGTTCACTGTGACATGAATGAAAATAACTATTGTAATTGGTAAAACGTCGTCCTATATCTAAATGTTGAGTTGAAGACCACAGCAAGAGTTTTCTTCTTCTCATAAAGAAGGTTTTGAATAAATTCCGCTTCATAGGAATATAGGGACAGGTTAGCTAATATAGGAGCACAATAAGTGCCCAACGAAATTTCAATAGATTGTTGGAAGACCTGGTCTCTAAAGACTATATAGATATTGTCAATGAGGAACTCCAGCATCTTTTTAATATCAATTTCAGAGTACATGTACATGTATGTTAAATCAGAAATTTTGTTAACAAATTTTGTTGACGACCAATTACAAGATATGAAAATGTATGACTTCCATTTTTATTGAAGAACCAGTTTTCTATGATGTCAATAAGCCTGCTCTTTAATTTATCATGCGGAATGGTTCTATAAAACTTAGAAAAGTTGTATGTTTCGATGCTATTGCTGTTTGAAAACTTTTGAGATTTTAAATTGTCCAAAAGTTCTTTTTAAGTTTTTTAGAATCTACGTTTGATTGACACCACTTCTTGAGTATGTTGTAGAACAATACGTCTGGAGTTTCTCCTTCACAGCAGCTTATATTTTGGTGAGGAATAAGGATAGGGGCATGGTTAAATATTTTCTGGACCCTGCAGTATACATGTATCTTTATTTGTAAAGATTTTCATGAAGTTTTGGAATCCAGTCTAAGTACGGTAAATCAGACTCACTTCTATTGATCGGAATGTTAAACGTTTTTAAAACTGAAAGGTGATTTTGAAGAATTTCATCCTTTGAAAGGGAACTGTAAGTATAGGTTGGATTACCAGATATGGAATTAAAACAAAGTTCTTCTAAAATGCATTGTAATAGTAAGCCTTACAAACAAAGACTATATTGTTACAAGCTTTGTTAGCAGGACCAAAACAATTTTTTTCATGTAGTCTTTCTAATTCTTTTAACATTTCCGGTCTACTGAAAATGGAGATAGAAAGTTTGCATTTTTCTCGTTAATTTTCTAATGCAATTCTTTAATATATTTCCATTCTGACAGTGTGTCAATGTCTTCCCCTTCAAATTTAGCCCATCGTCTAGCATGCACCTCGACAGAATTCATAACAGACATGAAGTTCTATCGCCATTTGAAAGATTTGGGCTCCCTGAATTCAGGACTTTGTAAAATAATAGCTTTTAGGTCGTCATTTTGAACTATACTTGCATCACTATGCAGTCGTGCAATTCATCAACCTATCTTGCAATTCCTGTCCTATCAAGATAAGTCATGATGTTTCTAGGAACAGGTACCTTACAGCATTCAATGAGAATGAGGCCAACAATTACACAATCCTCATAAACGAAGCACTGGCGAAGAGATATGTGTCTATTCATTATTGTACAATCCAACAATGGACAATACTATACACAGTACAACGAAGGGATACATCATTCAAGTTAGAATGTATGTCCATTTATACCTTTTGTGCGTTCATGTCATCTTCGCGTTTAGATAATTTTGCAGTGAAAAAAATGAAGACGATATGGACACACAAAGCGAAGGAACAAACATGCAAACAAAAGAGAAATAGACGAAATGAGCGGAGTAGAAACCGGAAGACTACCGAAACACATTTTAAAAGATGTATGCAACGTGATAAGCTCTATGTTGAAGCATCAACAAAAGATAACTCCCTGCAGTCTCGCACCATCTACTCTGCATTTGAGGAGAGTTTAATTTAAAGCTACCAATAAAAACTGCATTTATCACTTAAAAGGACTATATTTGACACCTGTTTGAATAATTACAATCCAACGATACTCAGAGCCTGAGATGCCATCATGGATGCATGTTGCGGACCCATATTAGTTTGTGGCCAACATACTATCCAACATCAACAAAGCAGAACTGGGCAAATTGCTAGCCGCTACATAGAAAGAAATAAGCAATGAATAAACGTACATGTATATAACACGTTTACATACGAAACAAAATTTGCACATTAATTTGAAAGAATTTTCAAAAAAAAAAAAATATTCATTTCAACAGTAAATAGTGCATTTACAATCAGTCTTCCTTAAATTGCCCTAAAATAGAGAAAAAGGATATACTGAAGAACTATAGATATATGGATGCTTTCTTTTATTGACAAGTATTAAGCGCTCTGAAACACAGGAGTTCAACAGTTCAATGACCAGTGTTTGTCGAAGTTTTGTTCTAATCAGTGTTGTTTTCATTATCCGACATCAAAACCTCTAAAACATTAAAGAAAAAAAATCCCCTGTCCGTGATGAACTGCCGAAAGGACAGGGGTGTATAAATTAAAAGAAGAAATAAAGGAAAAGAAGCTGTTATTCTCTACCCAAGATTTAATTGTCTCTAAAACCCAAGTGATTTTTATGCCTCTCTGTTGCAACTACTCAATATCTGAGAACCTATAGAAAAAACCCAAATGTCTAAACATTCATCATGCAAAACTCGGGGACAAACCATTTCAGGATATCATCAATCAAAACAGAGGTCTGTGCAAAAATAAAAAAGGCTTTGAAAGAAATTAGGAGGACGTTCAATATGAAAGCATTTGCAAAGACGAATGGGCAACACTCACTGTCGCTCCAGTATGTGAAGTAGAAAGATTGATGCTTCTTGCAAAGAAGTCAGACAGGTTATTGAAGAAGAGGAGGAGGAGGTCTCGCCAGATATTGAGCTGTTGGCGACTTCACACAAAAATTAGTAACTGTGTTATTCGAAGAACAAGGCCTTACAACTTCAAACCAAATCAAGTCAAAGATTTTCTGAGAAACATGATTGAAATGCAAAAAAGAATGTTTTGAAAACAATGTTTATAAAATGAGGCTTATAAGTTTCTTGGAAGTAGGACTGATCCTCTTGGTGTATTTATAACAGGGAGTACGAGAACAAAAAAGTCACTATCTATTCAAATGTTCATTTCATGAAACAAACAGAAAAGGACAAAACTCGACACAATGAAAGCTCTGTGAACAGATCCAACTAATACATCTGTTGGTGTTTGGTATCGGTATGAAAATGAAAGAAAAAGTGAGCAAGCTCACATACCCCACGCTCCCCCAAAACTCGACA